TATTGTTGAGAGGCTATGAGACATCTAAAGACTGAGTGTCTAAAGACTCTGAAACATCAAATATGTCTCCCAATATGCCTAATCACTGTAGAAAAGAGCGGTGCCGTGATGATGTATTTGTAGGTCAACCCGGAAGTTAGCATCACAAAGGTTCCTTTGACAAAAAAAGATGGGATTTTTCTATCGGATTTCAGAAGATTGCAGAAAACGCGTGTTTGCCACAACACGCGTTTATGACACTTATATGTTTTTTTCAGCAGGAGAATCTCCACATATGTACAGCAATAATTTTTTTTCACGCTTAATTGCAACCACCAGAAGTAAAAAGTTAATGTTGGGCTTTAAGCAAACTACATCAAAGTCTCATGGCATCACGTCACCACCGCTAAGTTAAAGGCGGCTAATGTTCTGCATGATGATGGTGAGTAGTCTCATTTACTTACTTGTTAGCAATCGTCGTTTTTATGACACATAGAAGCTTTTGACTTTCACCAGTGGGGTTTTTATGTTGAAGAATAAAACGTTCAAATCTCTTCAGCTTGTGTTAACCACAGATCTTGCTTCAGGCATCTAACCAAAATTGTTAGCTTAAAGTGGACCTATCATGCTATATTTGAAAAATATATTGTAGGGCCATACCTATATAAGATATGTCTGTGAAGTTTTTTATTCAAAATACCAAACAGATCACCCATTGTAGCCATGCCTCATACTGCTCATACCCCTCTTTTGCAGGCCTGTTAGAGAAACGCGGGTCTTGGGTCCTTAGCTTGAAAAAAATAAATAAGAGGAGGCGGAGCTAATGCCTGATCAGAATTCTACCGGAGATAAAGTTAAATTCTGCTGTGATAAAATGCCATCCTGTTTAAACCACATCAAAGATTATTTCCGAAACAGTATGGAGCTCAAATGCTTTTTCTCTTGCGGGTTTATCACAAGGTGAGTTTTTTTTTTATTTCCTGCTTTTTAAACACATGTGCTCTTCAGTACAGGTTAGCTCTGAGTGTTAGCGAGGTATGCTAATGTAAACAAAGACAAAGACATCCAAAACACGTTAGGCATTGTTTCTGATAGCAACTTTCTGTGGGTCCGCCGACGTCACCTCGGATGGACACGTCAGTTTGGATGAAAATCTGTATCTGCATGTTGTACACACGTTTTTAAAAGATTTGGGTACGGACGAAAAGAGAGAGGGTTTTATTTTCTGACGCCGCGTGAGTTCCCCTACACACCGGGGACACATATAAAAGACATCACAAAGTGCATTTTGCATGATAGGTCCCCTTTAAATACGGGGAAACCAAAGGTGGTGAGGTTCTTTTCACATAAGGCTTTCGGAACTCATTCCTGCACCACTCTATCTGCTACTTTCTCAACTCTGACCTTTGACCTCCTGCATGTGGTGCAGCAAATAAAACATTGTAAAGAACTTACTTTACACCTGATTATCTTGGTTTTAAATGTAAACCGTGAGTAGCTTAGCCAAAGATCCATCTCTTGTGAGTTTATGATCATCCATGTTGATGCTCAAAGTGGATCGTGCTTTAGAGGAGGGGATATACAGTTCAGATGTAAAATAGTATTTGACAGGGCTGACCCGTAGCTTTGGTCACGCCATGTCTCCAGACATTAGCTCCATTTCTCCTACCTGCCACTATGCAAGGTGAAGTAATCAGGGAGCTTTTGTTACTCAACACTAGAACATTTAGAGCCATTAGTGTTGAAGGGAATTAGTGGGTCGAAATTAGATTTGAGTGTGATTTATATCTTCGCTCACTGACAGAGAAAGTTTGTCATTACATGGAAACCAAAAATCTCTTTATTGATTTAGGAGACAGAGCTCAATAGGCCTGGAAGGAACAGCAGAGGACACAAAGAAGGAAAGAAAATAGACCCAGAGAAGAGGGAGTGTGTAGCAGTGCCCACACAACATGAGTTAATGGTGATGTCAGGAGTATACCTGGGACAATGACTGGATGAGGGACAGAGAGTAACTGTCCTTAAGTTTTGAGGTACTTTAATTTCCATTTGAGTTGATTGTAACTTTGTAGATTAAGACTTAACAAACAAAGTGTATCATCATTCACAAAATACGACTCCCTGCTATAGATAAAATATATTTAAAATAATAAAAAGTATTATATTCAGTATCGTATTTTTGGAGCGGTATCTACTTTACTTCTACCTTTGTATGTTTTCCCTTACCAAAGTGAAGCCTTTTATGTTATTTTGAAATAAATTATTCCATTGACAGTATGCAGTATACTTAAAGGAACATTTCTGATAATTAAAAAGTCCTCTTAACATATGTGTAGCTACTGTTCTGAACATTTTGCTCTACAGCAATAGTTGGGAACATAGCACCACTGAATATATTATGTATACAATTTACAAGAGGATATTTAAAATCACTGCCGCCTTCACTCCTCCCTGTGTAGAAGCCACTTGGTGACTCTTTCTCTGGTGACAAGTATATGGAAATGTAGACTTAGAATTTATAATTATTTGGAATTTGTGAAGTCACACAACAGTCATTTTGACATTAGCTGAAAGTGGTGTCTTTAAAACTTTCACAAGACAATTCAACGGGTTATATAAAGAGCTGTAATAACACTTTTTAAAAAGTCTAATATGTATTGAATTTGTACTGGAATCAGCTAATTGCACAAAACACATGGAAAGCATTACCTCAATGTCTACAGCCGGCAAGGCACTTTGGAAACCTAAACAAAGGTGAATATTTATAATATTTACAATATTCTGGCCATGTGTATCCATGTAGCCATTATGCCTTTAGTATATGTCGACTTTACAGTGCATCTGTTTTTAATATATACATGTTTTGTGTGTAGTATGGTTGGCCTCCCTCTTAATATCACATACATTTTAGCAGTTTATTGTACCTTCTTGTAGGTAAAGACCAATATTCCTGTAATAACAAAATAATAATGTTTTGAGACCCCATACAGTATTCGAATGCATTGTAGTCATTTTTTCTATGATATTCCTGTTGAACCTTTTGGGAATATGATATTTCAAATGCCAAAAAGTGCAGCAGAAACATTATAATGACACTCTCCAATAGCGTGGATGCGCTGCTGTTGTTGGGAGTGATTGTGTGCATGAAGCAGTTTGTTCATCATGGAATGCAGCTTCTGCGGGAGCTTTGACCCATATTTCAAGCTGAGAGGCGCTCGTTTCCGGCAGCTTTCAGAACGCATTTATCTTCAGCTCAGTCGGCAGCGCAGAGTGAATTAGACCCGTTCATATGCGAGAGAGATGCAGAGAAACCCATTCCACTCTGAATTTGTCTTTATTCTGCTCTTCCATTGGGAGCCACAATATATTCCACAATATTGCAGGTCTCCCTTGAAAAGGAGATCTATGATCTCAACGGACCAATCTGGTTAAATAAAGGTCTGAAATGAAATGAAATTAATTGACCTCTGTGTTGCACAGAAGATGGTCCAAATACATGTCCGTTTGGCACCTTAACAGATGTAATTTGGAGTATTTATCTGCTGAAAATATCGAAATTGTGAGGAAACTGCAGACTATTGCTGTTTTTTACAATCGAATTATGAACGCCTTTGAAACAGCACTGAGCAGAAAAAAGAACGAGCATAGTGTTATATTTGTTGAAACTAAATGTAGTTGTGTTTTCGATTGCATTCAGCCATCTGTTTCTGGTTTTTACACCCAGGGAAGGAGAATTCTCGTTTTAAATGTATTACTCATTTTATGTTGCACCATTTAAAGGGCCAAATGAATATAAACAGCCTCGGAAAAGGCCCGGTACTCATCCAGGCCTGCAGCTATGACTCATCCGAGGCTAAACATCACGCTTTAAGCAATCACTATTTAAGGCAGCAAGTCATTATGTGCTCAATGAAACGATTTAAAAGGTGAATGTGGCTCAGAGGCTGTTTATGGGATGGCAGTGTGACAGCACCTGGCGGAAGGAAGTGGCCTTGGACAAATTGTCATCCCCTGTAAAAATCCCTTTTTTAATTAATCAAAATACAATAACCAAAATAATAATCACAATAATAGTAGTAGTAATAATAATAATAATAATAATAATAATAATTATTATTATTATTATTATTATTATTATTATAATAATGACAATAATATTACATATTTCTTCTCCCTTTTAAAAAAATGTATTTAGACAGCTTGTAAAGCAGTACTTCTCCGGATATGAAGGTTTAAAGCTATGATGGGTTTGATCGATTTTTTGTCGATTAAAATGAATATTTATTAATACGCATCCAGGGACATTTAGGCCTCCTCCCGCCCAGACAGCCTCCTCTGGCCCGGCTCTCTTCATCATTCAGCCCGGAGGATCGTTACCGGCTGACAGTGATAAATGAACCGGCCCCGGTGCCTTTATTTATTTATTTTCCGGAGTTTCTGTGTTCATTCTGAGCTTAGAAAATACTTGGAAAAAATCAGCAGTGTTTCTTGAAAACGAAAATGTTTGAATTTATATGGAACAAAGACTTAAAGCACCGTTTTTTTTTCATCTCTCTGAACCCTTTTTCTCCTGACACGGATTCCCTCATCCAGGCTGAATAAGCAACAACAGTCAGTGAAAGCTGCCCGCTCTGATTTTTCCTGAACTCTGGAGCCAGGCCATCCATCATCCCTGTCACCATCAATCGAATAACGCGAGACAATCGCAATCCCGTCTCATATCGAACCGGAGAACGTGACCTGCAGCACAACTAATGCCCCTTTAAACCGTTTTCTCCGACGCCTACGCTGACCTTTCTTCTCCGTTTTTTTTTAAAGTGAGACCTCAGGATAATAACCAAACGAAAACAATCAGACCGATCTGCTCCCGCCATTAAATCACGCTGTGTTTTGTCTTCCTCAATTGAGTCTTTATTTTGGTTTTTAGTGCAGACTTCTTCTGTGTTTTGGTGCTAAAAACTATTTAAAAAAAAAAAGGAAATTCCATGTTTCCTCAGAAAGTCTTTTTAAATGTATAAGAACACAAGGAGAATCAAACAGAAGAAAGAGATGCAGTGCACGGAAACAGAGATGGCTTCCTTTAAAAATCTTAATTGATGTTAGAATAAAAAACAACACGTCATTGGTGAAAGCTCACTATGATCACAAGCGCAAACATGGATGGAAACAGCCAAATAAACACACAACTATACAGCACAACAATTAAAACTCTCACCGAATAGTCATATTTAAAAAAAGATATTCACAGTGTTTTTTGTGTTTTGTCCTTTAAAGGAGAGGTGTGTTTCTATGTACAATGTTTATTTGGAAGGGGGTAGGCTATTTAGGGGTAAAGCTTTACCTAAAAAATAGGAAAAAGAGAAAGAAAAGTCCCCGTGGTCCGCCGTTGTAGAAAAATAAATAAATAATTTAAAAGGGAATGGAGATGTGTCACACTGCTTCACTGAAGTCCTTTCTCTTGTCCCGTAAAAGCCCCCCAGTTCAGGGGGAAAGTCAAAGTCTTTGGGCGGCCTCGTGCGCAGGTTTGGCGTTTCCATGGTGATCCTCTGCGCAAGCACCGTGCAGGTTAAGGTGGAGGTGGGGGAGGTGTAGGTCAGGTGGGGTTGACGTGCAGAGGCAGCTCCGGTACTGAGCTCCACAGCCCGGCGGAAGAAGATCCCTGAGCCCCATGGAGGCCTGGAACCGAACAGAGGGGGGAGGTTAGCACGGTACAAACAGAAACACCCGTACACTACATTTAATAAATAACTAATATTTCCAAAACAATCGGAATACTTTATTTATCCAGAGGAACATTTGGTTTTGAGACATATCCTTCATTTTATTATGAAGTAATAAAAAATATATGGAAAATAATGAAAATAATTGTAAAGATAATGAGGTAAAGTAAGAACAAACACATGAATAAAGATAAATATATTCTAAGAAATAAAATAAAATGACCAGATACAAATATTATATTGTATAGTAATAATTGGATCTTTTGTCTTTCCCAACAATCTGAAATCCACTCTTTTGTTAAACATAAAAAATAATATTGTGTCATTCATAATTGCCACCATTGCCAAAGACATAAATAATGTGTTGGACAAAGGTGGCAATTATGAATGACACAATAGTATTTTTGTAATAAAGAAGATTCCGGTTTATACCCAGTTTAAACAAAGAGTTATTATTATTATATATTTTTTCAAGGTTAATGTAAAAGCTGAATCTATTTTCACCTGAACCTATTGCATGTTGCATTTTATTCGGTGCTTTGGAGACACACTTATTACAATAAAATACATAATAAAAACATTTACATATTTAAATTGTGCATATTCCAGAGTATTTCAGTAAAGCCATATCATTAAAACTGAGACTGTTCAGTCATCCATAAGAAAATGGGTTACTTCTTTACCTCTTAAATCACAAAACTATATTAAACATCTACAGTATCTTCCTCTTGAATAGTGCTGCTCACAATACACACATAGCAGTTCTGAGGAAAGCAACAATACACCTTTTGTCTCTCGATAATTAAGATGTGAACTGTGATCATCAGGGTAGAATTGTTTGCTTAACCCTCCTGTTGTCTCCGGGTCAAATCTGACCGATTTACTACCTTCATCAATCATAACTTTTTTGTTTTACATTAGATTGCATTAAGGCTTTATGATATCCTTCACAGAAGACATTTGAACATATACAATTGCTGATCACCACTTTCATTACATTTTGGATGATTTGGTCAACTTTGTAACACCCATGGTGTTCCGGGTCAAAGAAAAGGAATTAGTAACCATCCGGATCAGATAAAACACACACACACACACACACACACACACACACACACACACACACACACACACACACACACACACACACACACACACACACACACACACACACACACACACAGAACAATTTGACACATTTCCCCCCCCTTACACACACACACACACACACACACACACACACACACACACACACACACACAGAACAATTTGACACATTTCCCGCTCGTATGTGTCCATCCCCCCACATGGATCACACCTGGCACACGCAATACATGTTCAGTGTATATTCTTTGTATATTTACTGCAGTTGTTCATGTATACCAGTAGTCTTTTACAATATTTACAGTTTGAAAGGGTGTTAAATGTAATTTGGTAATGATTAATGGTTTTTGTGTTAATGTGATAGCAGTTAAAACAGGACCAGTCAAATTTGACCGCAAACACCAAAGTAATATAAGGGAGGGTGGGAATGAAGACAATAGGAGGGATAATATACATGTGAGTTCTATAGGGGATGTTACAATGCATGTATATGTACATAACAAATATATCTATACATTATGAAAGAATACAACCAATGCCATTATAAGATACTTAAAGGATTTGATTGCCATATACAGTACATTTACTTTTTTGAAAACCATTGCATTCTACATTCTCTTCAAAATGATGATGTACATTCTTGGTTACATTGTGTCTGACAATCCCTTTTTTTCTTAATATTAATATAATACAAACCTCTGTGCCCCATTCCTCCTCTATCACATTGCTTTTGAAATGTGCTTTTCCAGCTATTCTCTCTAAAACACATACACTTGAGATGAGCAGCAGATGAAAAGCATATGGTGGAGTCAGCTGTATTGTGCGATGTGCAGCAGAGAGGAGAGTAAAATAGTGCAGCTCCAGTCATGTATTCCATAATGGTTAAATGTTATGGCTCGGGCTTTATCGTGCATGGAAAACCCTCATATTACTCCAAACACGGCTTCCTGCAGTCCTGGGGAGATTTACTGCCGCAGTCAGCATACGCTCTCGCCACAGATCAAATTAGGGGGAGCAAAAACATCCGGCTCTACTGAGCTATTACTGTAACTCAATGATCATTCAATGAGAAATAATTAGATTAAATACTCTCCAAAATATATAGCCAGCATTTATTCAGCCTGATGTCTCTATGCAGATCTATTTTTTTCTTTTTTCTAGATGAAGCGTCACAATCTGCTCTTTGAACTTCATTAGCAAAGCTGGGGGAATGATCAGACAGGGGACAGGGGGCTGTGTTGGCGAAAATTGGCCCCAGTGAAAAAAAGAATGAAGCAAAAGCAGCCCCTATTTACATATAAAGAGCTCTATTAATCAAGGTAAGTGTCATTACAGCGTGGCTCATTGAGCAGTGGAGAGTGGGTGTTAAATAAAATTCTCTGTGCTCGGGTGCCTCCGGTAGGCGATACGTCTTGATTTGAGAACTGTCAGCAGAGGTGAGGAGCTGATAGTGGCTGGAGGAAGAGGGGGTGGAGGAGGAAAAGTACCCCGATTCTTAATCAGATTGCCAGGGGAGAAGAGATGGAGGAAATAAAATGGAGGAAGAAGAAGATAGAGTGATGGAGAGAAAATGAAGTGGTGTGAGTGATGAAGAGGAATGTGTTTCCCACACAGGGTTTTTATATCTTTAAAGATAGTTCCCCCACTTTGATACAAAATCTGTTAGGCCAGGTATAATAATCTGAATTATTCTTTGATTTGCTAGTCAGGACCTACTATGGTGCAGTACATATTTGTGTAGGCCCATCAAGAATTTAGCACCTCAACAAAAAGCAATGGTAATTTTCCATTAGATTTCAGGATATTGCTGAAAAGCTGGATAATCTCCACTTATTAACAATATTTTTTATCTTTTTCAAAGCGTAAATGCAATCCCCAGAAGTTAGAAGCTAATGTTTCGCCATAAACAAACTAATGGAGGCTAATGTTCGGCGTGATGACGTTTAGTTCTCTTATTTACTTAATTAGAAACAGCTGTTTTTATGACACATAAAAGCTTCATACGTCTACCAGTGGGGTATTTACTGACATATTTTATGTTGTAGAAAAAAATCTTAACCCTAGAACTTATTTCAGGAGTCTAACCAAAAACACGTCCAAAACACAGTTGACTTCAAGACGAGGGAGCAGGAAGTGCTAAAAGGCTAGATCTTTCTCCGGGTTTTAGGACTTATTCCTCTACCACTTTATTCTAGTGGGGAGATCATTAATCCATTAGTGGTTGCATTGGAGTAAAAGTATGAATGCAATATGAATGCAGTGGACAAGTGAGTGATAGTGAAATTGGTCCTTTTGCTACAAATGAAGCCAGAGAAGGAGTACTCACTTCACCCTGTTGTTCAGGCGTGCCTCAGTCGAGTGGATTTACATGTAGTGCCACTGTCCATCCATGCCCATGTTCATACCCATGCCACCTATCGGCCCTGGAATGAGGAGTTGAAACAAAAGCAACAAGATGACGGACTACTCAGAACTGTTGAGGCCATTATTCATCTGTAGAAGTATACTACCTTTATCATTGGTTCTAATTCATTCATTATAGTTTATAACCAGGCTGACCATAAGCAGAAGATAATAGATTTAGCCTTTGACAGTTTGATACATGTACGAGCGATTGCTTACCTCCAGGTCTGAGACCCATGTGCTGCTGCCCATCAAGAACAAAGCCTCCCATTGGCTGGCCATCTGGACTGTAGGCGTTACCCTGACTCACTGTGAGAGGAGAAGCAAGACTGTTAGAGTGAGCAAAGCCTCCTCCACTTTCTGTACCGCCTCCTTCATACTATCCATACTCCAAAGTTCATATTATTATAATTATCTCTTGTATCATTCTATATTTAACTCTAGTAGCCACTCTGTAGCTGCAGTGGATTTAACATTATATCATTAAGACAACTCAGTTGTACACAAATACACATTTTTACAACACTTGATTGACTGCATCTTTACCTGTTCTGTTGGACTGGTCGATCATAGGTTGGACTATTCTCCTCCTTGCGTTGATAAACCTGTGAAAAGAAAAACTGTATAACTATGCTGAACAGGTGAAAGAGTCTCAGGTGGAAATAAAAAAAACAAAAACTAGTTATAGTCAGCATACCTACATTTGGAACGCACATGATTAAATACTGTTAACTTAAGGGTTCCGGGTCTTTACAGTATCCCACCAATTAACTTTGCTAATATGTCATAACCCTGTTACCAAAGAATATCTTTTTGGTGATAATTACAAGTTTAATTTACTAGGGGCCCAACGTAAGTAAACGCTGAGATATAATAGTACCCATATTACAGTCTTAAACTCTCTATGTACAGCTTTTGTTGAAGGAATCAGATCATCAGTAAAGATCAGCTGAACCATCTAATATTTCTGAAAATAAGACATTAAAAATAAGTTTCACATTCGATCACATCAAATATTTTGTTGTTCTTTTTGGCACACCCTGCTTTGTCGGATATTAGTCTTATTGTAAAAATAATATCTGGCGTTTACAAAAACTGTACATTTTATTGGACAGCATTTGAAGAACTAGACTCCACTGTGTGTCTCCAGGGATATGAGTAGTAATAGACTTCATTCCTATTGACATAATCTGGGGCATTAGGAGAAAGTGCTCCCCTAAAAAATGTATTGATTTTGGGTTAAGCCCTATAGCCTTAGGCTGTGATGAGGCTAACTGCTTTGCCAATGTTATGCCATCGATACAGTCACCAACAGACAGGAGGCAGGGTGCATGCTGGGATCTGATTTGGAGAGAGTCTTTACTGAAGCCAGAGGTTGCCTTTAGTAGTGTAAAAGAGCTGATAGACTTAAAAAGCAAACTCCTCGGTAGATTTTGACAAAGGATTAGAGCGGCAAAATAATATCATCTCAAATTGTATATGGACTTACCAGTTGTTCACTTGAAGGATGGTGAGGCCTGTGTCTTGTGCTAGCTGCTTTTTCTGTTCCTCTGAGGGGTACGGGTGCTGTGGGGAACAAAAACATAGAACTTTTAATATTTGAAAATCAACAAACGTCTCCATCAACCAATGTGGATGGAATGTGGCTAGCATTCATCCAGGTGTGAATACTCCTACTCAGGAAGAACTGTATTATTCTGTACCAGTCTGTTTCGTGCACAGGTAATCCTGAAGTTCACAATTTGGCTCTGGAGAAACAGACGCTGGGCACGGTTTGGCCCCCCGAACACTTCATGCAAAAAGCGCGTGCCATTGTGTGACAGTATTTGACATTATTTGACATTGCTTGACAAACGATCGGGTGGGATATAAAGAGGCACAATGGTGGCTTTTGTTCGGGGCCCCGATAAGGTTAGGCCCCCTGTCGCCCTCCAACCCCTCCCCGCCCGGCTTCATGTCCCTGTCCTCCGGCCCTGATCCCATGGCTTCTGGCTCTATGTGGGAGTGTGTGTGTGTGTGTGTGTGTGTGTGTGTGTGTGTGTGTGTAGGCAGTGGGAGGAGGGCGGCAGATGGTAGACAGAGGTGATCCCTGTACTGGGAGTAGGGTCGTGGGCCAGTCCCCATTCTGCTGCTGTCAGGCCAGCAGCCGCCTCCTGTGGTCATCGGTGAAGGATGAGCTTCCAAGCACTTCATTTTTAAACCGCCTTTCAGGCTAAGTGCACACACACACACACACACACACACACACACACACACACACACACACACACACACACACACACACACACACACACACACACACACACACACACACACGCATATATATCAATACACTTGCATATGCAGACACTCATTATCGCGCATTCATACACACCAAAGCACACAAATGCTATAACAAAAG